AAACAGGTCAATTTCTGGATGGGCGTTAGTGTCTGGATGATTTCGACATGCATTAAATATTTCCATAGATAAAAAAAACACACTTACAAAAATTTCAGAGACCGTTGACTATTCATTTTCAGGGGTAAGATATTTAATTCGATTTAGGGCGGAAAGAATAATAAAATTCCAGATTTCACTGGAAATTCAATGAAATTACTAATTTTCGAACAGCTGGAAGACTAGAGATTCCCCAATTTACTTGAATTGTTAATCAAAACATGAATAGTCAGTACCGAATTACTTTGAATTTTCGATTAATTGAATATTCAAGAATATATTTACCTGAATTTCCATCAATTTTCCGGAAATAATTGAACTGCAGTTTTGTCGAAACTATAATGTGATCAAAAATTCCAAAAAGTGTATCGGAAATTTCAGTTAAAAATTTTGAACAGTGGCACTGGGATTCATGCTTGAATTTTCTGAGAATGTAACATTTTTGCGTTATTTAATAAATTAGTTATCATTTAATTAAAGAGGAACAGTTCTTTTGAATCAAATAAAAATCATTATTCGAATTTTTTTACTTATTTCAAGGAAAAGGATTTAATTATATTAAACAAACAGTTTATTTATTTCAACTAAATGATTTATTAAAATCGAACAAACAATTCATTTATTTCAAATAATTAGTGCAGGTTTTTCGGTCAATTTTTTTCGCATGTATTACCATCTCAAAGCGTTAAATAAACATTTATGTAGTTCAGAAAAAATTTATTTGATTCAAATAGAGAAATTTTTTTAATATAAAAAAACCGTTCATTTGTTTCAAAGACAGATTTATTAATAGTAAATAAACATTCATTTAATATAAACAAAATTCGAATAAAAATATTCATTTCATTTGAAAATAAAAACTTTATTTCGTACAATTTAAATAAAATAAGTATATTTGATTCCAATGAATTATCTTCCTGGATGTACGTCTACAACAATTGCTCTCAAATCTATCAAGATTTTCTATGTGTTAAACAATTGGCCTCACAACACTGTAAACTTTACTCAAAGGGTCTAGCCGTATAAGCATGGAGAATCTGCCCCCAGCGAATTTCAATGCGGTAATTTTTTCACATATGCATGACCTAAAAAAAAATTCTGTGCAAAATTTCAGATCATTATATTGATTCCCTGAATTTTCATGATCAAAACATTTTTTTTTCAATTTTATTTGTTTTTGCGTACTTAAAAGCTATTTAAAAATCTGAAAAAATTCTGAAAAATCAAGAACATCTCAGAATTGGAGAAAAAAATTTTTGTTCTATTGTTTATTGCTAAATTATATTTTTAATCAACACTTCTTTCTTTTAAAAAATAATTTTTATAGGTACAGATTTTTCTACAACTTTGTCAAAATTTGACGTGAGTTTAGTCTCAATTCCCTACATTTTTTTTTAAGTTCTAAAATTCCACTTGCAACATATTCAAAAAAAATAAAAACCATGAATTTTCGCGTTTTTCACTAGAAATCCTTCCATGAATCATCTCTATGGGTCTGTCAATTGATTTCTATGACTAGGCTAGTGTTGTGACATATTTACTTCTATAGCAGCCGCTGCGAGGTAAAATGGATCGTAGAATACGGTGAAACCCCGGAGCAAAATGAAAATTCCATTACAATTTCGATTTCCATCAAATTTGGATTCAGAAAGCTTTGAAGGATTTCATTGGCTAAAAGAATATCAGTCAGTTATCGGTTTAATATTGCCAATCAAATTTTTCATTCTCAAAAAAAAAGATTGATTTTTTTTTTGAAAATTCACCACAAGTCGGTTTCACACATACTTAATAGGTAAGTCGTATAATATTTACAAGGATGAGCAAAACAAATAAGTGTATAGTCAGAAGGATCGAATCTAAGATTCTTTTCTATTCGAAACCATATTTCACTGACAAAATGCTTTCCTGATAAATTCACCTAATAACTCAGCTTTGATTCGTTAAATATTTTCAGGAATGTTTACCAGAAAATTTTTGAATCGTAATACCCCGAGACCTTCAACATTATTGGATATTTTCCCGAAGTTACGTTGCAAAAAAATGAAGGTGTCAAGTTCTGCAGACTCACAATCCGGAGTACGCAGGACGCCGAATTTTCCTGCAAAATTCGACGCACTCGTTCCTTCGCAGGCGAGCTTGAGGGAAATATTCGATGAATCGTGAAGGTCGAAGAGTGTTTGGAGGATAATTTCCTCAAGTCTCATTTTGGCCGAAAAGGGTGCGGTATTCGTAGTAACGGGACACTTTTCACAAAAATGTGAAAGATATCCATCGAAAGGAGGGACAACAGTTGATAGGTTATTGTGGCATCGTCATTTTGTCAGTTTACCCGTGGCTCGTTGAATGATCAAAATCAAACTGATGTGAAGGTGTTACATGACCTCGAATACTGCACTCTGTATGGAATCAGAATTGAGGGCATTATGAAGGAAATCCCCCTCTTTCAACTGGTGCTCTCAGAGATGTGGATTCAAAATTCTAATTCAGTTCTCCTTTTCCTATCCAAAAGGACATCCATGGGGTGACATCAATTCACTTCCTAGATTTCACTCCTCAAATGTGTACGGTAATCCCTCGCGATTACTTCTATGGAAATCGTCCCTTGAAATTTAGATTTTTTTCAATCAAGCAATAAGGTAACATGATAATTTTACTTAGTCACCTAGTGCTTATTCATTGAACATTCCTGTTCCTCCACTATTTACCAAGAGATTAGGGTTCAACTGTGAATTTATTAATGGGATCCGCTCGATTCCAATGACGATGTTCATAATTAATTCCGTATAAAGCCTGCCTGGTCTCGTTTTTTTCTTCAATTCAATTTTTTTTGGGATATAAGATTGATCACATGGTAGTTATTTTATGTTGTTCGACGCGTATTTGACTGATTTTCGCGAACCGTTTCGAGCCCACATTTGAGGGAAATCGAAATTTAATTTCATTTAGACTCGGAGTTGCATGATACCCTGCGTTTCATTTTGTCCCGCAGTTGCTCTCCTGTGGAAGGACGATATTTTACAATACTAGCCTAGTCCTAAAAATCAATTAACAGACCCGTAAAGATGAATCATGGAAGGATTTCTAGTGAAAAACGCGAAAATATATCGTTTTTTTTTTTAATGTGTTGCAAGCGGAATTTTGGAACTTTTTTCTTCTCAAAATGTAGGGAATTGAGGCTAGAATCACGTTCGATTTTGTCAAAGCGGTAGAAAAATCTGTACCTATAAAAATGATTTTTTAAAAGAAAGAAGTGTCGATTAAAAATATAATATAGCAATGAAAAATGAAATAAAAAATTTTTTCTTCAATTCTGAGATGTTTTTGATTTTTCAAAAATTTTTCAGATTTTTAAATGGTTTTTAAGCACGCAAAAATAAATAAAATTGAAAAAAAAACAGTTTTTTGAACATGAAAATTCAGGGAATCAATATAAGATCTGAAATTTTGCACAGAATTGTTTTTTTAGGTCATGAATATGTGAAAAAATTACCGCATTGAAATTCGCTGGGGGCAGGTTCACCATGCTTATCCGGCTAGACCCTTTCACTGTTTATTTATCACCAGTTGAATAAAATTGTACACGGAGAAAAAAAATCCAGAATTTTTCAGGCGAAATTCAGGCAAAAATTACCGTGCCGTCTGGTAAAGTGGGTTCAATTGTCTAGCACCAGAAAAATTCCGGTGCTGCATAGTAAAAATTCCGGTAACGCACAATAAAAGCTTGATCCCTGACTGTTTTCTATTACATGATAAATTTCATTCAATAGTTAAAAATGAGTAAACATTGTCATTCAGCATATCATCCTATTAATTTTATTTTAACCTCTCCTCCATATCCTCTCTCCCATATTAAAAGCGGAATGCGCGGCAAACGTATGTGGAACGTTTGACAGGCCAATGTATATCTACAGCGTTATACACCTCATGAAGCGAAAATAAAGGGCACTTATTTTATTTCTTAACCGTTTTATCACAACACTAATTAATATTTCACTGAATTGATATTATGAAAAACATTAACCTGGGGTTTCAGTAAGGAGATATGTGAGAGAGGAGGCTAGAGGAGGCGACGGAATAAATCATCTGGTCACGTTGAGTCGATGTTCGTGGTTGCGGAGGGGGGACGAAGAGTACCGAAATCTTACGAATGCGCGATCGGGTCCTAGGATTCTGGTAGAGCACCGGAAAAATTTGCCAGTCAGTGTCATAATTTTTCTCGTATTTCTCGTAAAAATTCACTGTCGCTTCGATTTTACCGTGCTGCACAAGAATTTTTCCCCACATTTATCCGAAAAATGACTCGTGCAACAGTACTTTTTCCTACTCTTTGCGGTACATTTGGCCTGGAAAGACCATCTGAACCAACTTTACTGTGCGGGCACGGTAATTTTTCTCGTACATTTCTCTCCGTGTACCTATCCAAGAACCACAAATTGCAGATGAATTTTTGTTTCGTTCATTTTTCCTCTCAATTTCATAATGTTTGTTCTACGCTCCATGGAAAAATGTAAACAATACCTACAACTTCTCTTCTCCATCATTTCAATCACCATTCCGATTTTTCCCTCTCAATTTACGCAACACCAGCGGATTCTATCAATTCCTCCATGAATGTTTCGTTTCAATATCGAAAGCGGAATAAAAACACAAATTTTCAAACAATTGTTTTGTATATATGTGCTAATAGCATTGGGTAGAGAGTGCAGAGTGAGCGGTAGTAACGAGAAAACTTTTTTTTAACGAAAATATGTTTCGCTGTTTGTCCGTGTGTCGAGGATATACAGGAAGCAGCGTGCCGTTACGGCTTTTGTCTATGGAAGAACAAAGTCGCGAAGTAATCGCAATGTGTCGAAACGGAAACAATAATTTGTGCATTCGTAACCCGGATATGAAGAACAATTGCAACGAACAAAAACCAAAATTATAAATACCTCAATTAGTGGAGTTTTCTCTGATTTCAGTGAGACCATTATCAGTTAAAATATTCGGTAAGGAGAAGATTGTATCGGCAGCCAAGAAGTACGAGATCAAGTGCCGGAGTACGGGATCCAAACCCCCGGCGGAATTGACGTGGTGGAAGGGTTCGAAACTGCTGAAGAAGGGAGTAAAAAACGTAAGTAATGCACCATTGAGCACTTGAACATTATTATCACTGTCGCATTGTTAAAAGGCGTGTTTCTCAATTGGAAGTAATGTGGGAATACTGTTTAAAAATAAAAAGTAATGTGATCGTTACTTTTTGCATATTAGTCTTTTCTTTTTTTATTTCCAGCAATTACAATGGTGATAAATCCGAATGAATCCGTAGCAATCCGAATGATCGGTAGCAATTCTCTAGCAGGAAAATAGTTAAACTTTTACTGAAATGGATTTATAAGGGAGAGTGGGGTAAAACGGCCCCTTTTGACTTTTTTTGTGATACTCATAACTCAGAAACAAATTCATTAATTGAGATCAGTCTAGGCTCATTCTAAAGGGGAAGAAGTGTACTTTCCATGGAAAAAAAATTATTCCAGGTTATTTAAAATTGAATGAGCTGTCAACATTTTTGAAAAAATCAAAAGGGGCCGTTTTACCTCACTCTCCTCTACAAATGGTTAAATATCTGTAAAACTGCTCTGCCGATTGCGCCTATCCAAAATACCAACCTTCAGTATTGTAAGAGCTATCACCAAATTTCACCTTATCTTCATTTTTTCTCAAATTAAGGTGCGCACAAAAATGGCAAAATTAAAAAACGAAAAAATAGCAATACCTCGAAAATTTTGTATGAACGCGTATAAATATTTTGATTGATCTAGATAGAAGCCGTCGAGACGAGTATTTTGAGATATTTAGGAAGAACGACATTTAAACAAGTTGTTATATCTCAGGACCTACGGGACCGATCGGGCTGAAACCGCGCTCCAAAGTTAAGCTGAATAATAGCTACAATGAGCCAAAATTTTAGAAATTTATCTTCAAATTTCAGCGTATTTATGGTGAATTTTCTAAAAATTAATCACTAAAAACCTAAGTGGACCCTAAAAAACTCATTTCTTCACGTTTCATAACATTCTAGACCATTTCCAATCAAAATTAGAAAATCAAAGAATCGGTCAAAAATAAGCCTTCCATTCGGAACCAAAAAGGAAGAATAAATAATGAGAGTTAAAACTGAAAGAGAAACTGAAGGAGTCAGGATAACGTGGACCATATTTCAACAATTACAAATGGCTAAGAGGAAGAACGAAAATGCAAAATGAGGGGGACACGCAGAAAATCACCGGGCCCCCTTGACTTTGCATTTTCGTTCCTCCTCCTAGCCGTTTGTAATTGTTGAAATACAGTCAACGTTATCCTGACTCCTGCAGTTTCTCTACATCTCTGTGCATTTTAACATTCATTTTTTAATTTTTTCCTCTTTAAATCGTTCAATTTACAACTTTTTTGTTGAGGATTTGTAATTTTTCATTTTTCAGTTTTCATCATTTGTTTATTCTCCCTTTTTTAAATAATTCTATTTACCAGTTTCCCATTACATATTTTTTCCTCCTATACTTATTTTCATAAAATTCGGCATCAATATCCGACATTCACGGACAAAAAAATTTACTAGAGAAACCTATCGAATTCGTTAGAAAATTTTATTGAATTTCTGTTAAACTTTCTATTAGTTTTTGGCTGATTCTATTGACATGTTCAATAGAAAACATTCAATAGAAAAAGTCAACAGAATTCGATTTTTCTATATAACTTATTCTTTTCATATATTTTCTATGGAATTAGCTCGACTCAAATTTTCTTGAAGTTTTTTTCATTCTATTTTTGTTTTCTTCTCATCAAGAATTCAAACGAAAAAACTTAGAAAATTTGAGCGGAGGAAATTCTATAGAAAATATCTCAATGGAATAGGTTATATAGAAAAATTGAATTCTATTGACTTTTTCTACTGAATATTTTCTATTGAACATTTCAATAGAATCGGCCAAAAACTAACAGAACAGTTCAATAGATATTCAATAGAATTTTCTAACGAATTCGATAGGTTTTTCTATTAAATTTTTTCGTCCATGTAACTAACTAAGAACAGACCATATTTCTTATACCCCCTGCTGTTCCTTGTTTTATTTTATTTTTTATTGCGTGTCGACCCTTATTATTTGCAGTGAACATTACAGTGCTACCAATGCATTTTCGTTTTTGATCGCTATATTTGATCGGACATTTGGTACTAATATTTTTAGGTCGCAGAGATGATTTTTTCATTGTAATTTTCGAGAAACTGCAATCATTAATTATGAATTGGGTTTGTTAAAAACCTTCGTAAGTTTATTTTATTGTGTTTTTTATTATTTTTATTATTATGTTTAGTTGATTATGTTTTTAACCCACTTCTGATTGAGGTATATCATGCATAAACGTCGGAAACTGAGGTTACGCTTTGATCAAAAGCATATACCACTCCTCTGGGTTGTCGTCGAGGATAAAAAGCTTAATTTTATATAATACTAGGGGGCTAGACCCCCTGCTCGCATATGACCCCCATCATCCTTATTTTGACTGTTGTGACCCTTAATCTGACTTATGTGACCCTTAACCTGACCCTTATTCTGATGAAAATTTTCGGTCTTCTCGTTGGTTGCAATCTATGGGTTTTGAGGGCAGGGTTAACAGATAGGGAAAGTCAACTAATGCAAGAGGGAAAATCGCCAGAAAATCGTCGTAGTTGGAGAACGAGAATTTATCACGGAAATCTTCAGTGGCAGCACTCGGTTGACATTTTGAAAAATCTTACAGGTGATTCTCGCATGGGTTTAACGGTTCAAGAGTCATACTTGCAAGGGTTGTACCTCGCGAGGGTCAAATATTGTGAGGGTCACATTGTGCAAAAGTCAAACGTCGCAAGGAACATACCTCACAAGTTTGCGCCAAGTGAGGGTCAAACCGCACAAGGATCTTAACTCGCAAGGGTCAAACAGTCTACTGTTCATCTTAGTGGTCGTTTGACCCTCACGATTATCCTGTTGGCTTCTAAGCCAACAGGATAATCGTGAGGGTCAAACGACCACTAAGATGAAACGAGGCAGGTAGACAGGACAACCCACAGGGTCGACAGGAAGACAGGACAATCACAAAAGTCGAACGATTGCAAAGGTCAAACAAGATAACCTTCTAATTGCTAGATTTATGATTCTCCCTGGTTCTGCCCGTTGGCCCTCGTGCTCGTTTGACCCTGAAAATCCTCTTAACTGCCTCTATTGTTCGAGTTTTGTGATCGTTCGACTCCTCCGAGGCCCGACTCTTGCGAGGTATGATTCTTGTGACCTCTGACCATCGCCATGAATCGTCCTTGCGACTTTTGACCTTCGCGAGCCATGAACCTCGCGAAGCTTTTGACCCTTGCGAGGCGTGAACCTTGCGGGGTATGACCCTTCTGATGTTTGATCTTCCTGGTTTTAAACTGAGACGTAAAATTTTGCTTTTCTCAAACTTCAATTTTCGAGACTTAGGCGAGACCGAGACGAGATCAATAATTTCGAATTTTAACGAGAAATAGACGAGGCCTTCCAAAATTTCGTCTGATTTCGTGGACAGCCCTATTTTTGAGTGAGATTGTTTTTTTTGTGAAGAATGAGATAATATCTCCGAGATAAGATACAACCATCTTCTTGGCTTGATGTAGTATCTTTCGGTACTAGCCCGAAAGAAAACTTTTCTGACAAATATGATTGCAGCCCCCGCCTTCGGCTCGTGCTGCAAACCTCATATTCGCCAGAAAAGTTTTTTTCGGCCTAATGACGAAATATACAATTTTGTCACGACGCCCGTGGGCGGTGTTTTACGGACGTGAAGCGGCGCTTCAGAGACCGACTGATGAAAAATCAGTTTTTATATTTCTTTTGAATACATTAGTATCGATAAAAATCATATTAATCTTAATACAGTTCCCTCGGGTCCGTCAAAAACAACATCTGGAAGAAATTCTTTGGGCTATTAGAGCAGTTAAGAACCAAATCAATACAAGAACCATCAATACAAGAATAACCATCCGATAAGTGATGAGAGGAGTGAATTATAGTCTCATCAAGTTGGAAAAAAAATGTCAACTACTAACACAAATGTGTGCTTTTCACCCTCTTAGTCTTCCCAATATCTTACCGTTCTCAATGCCTTTACTTTCCATTTTTTTCATTCCAACCCCTCGGGGCCACGACTAACGGTGTTACCAAGTGCTTTGTTTCCTGGGTTTTTCGTCCGAATATAGGAAAAAAATGAGGTTAGGGATGAGAACATTTACCCTCGCCAGAGAGGGGTTGAGTGATATTGTGTACGGGGGAGACATAATGAGGTGAGTCTGGACGAGAGGGGAAAAGCTTTTTAATATTTTTAAGATGATGTGACAAGTGGAAAACATGAGTTGTCATGTAAATGAAGTTCATCCGTCTTAAGATGGGTTTTTTTGGTTTCAGCCTGAAGATTACATAATGTATTTCCCTCTAGAAAAACGAATTTTCGCATAGTAGCATGAGCAATCTCCATAAGTGATTATTTATCATGATCAGTTTTATATGAAATTTAATTTAGATGAGTGGAGGAAACTAAAATGTCGAATGATTTTTCAATTATTTTTCCGAATTTTACCAGAAATCGATTCCGGAAAAATAAGGTTTTTGAAAGTTTAAACAATTTATATTATTTATTTATAAATAACGGATGTTTAAAAAATTACTATTCTGTGTAAAATGTAATTTGAATGACGCTGATATCCTGTATTTTTTTCGAATTTTTTCTCACACAATTTAATTGACAAATTTGTTGATTGCAAATGACTGAATCTACTGTGTGGACTGCACTGTTAGAAAAAAAATGAAATTTCATGGACAGTTGACTATTAATTTTCAGGACAGTGACACTAAACGCTATTTAGGTGAAAAAAAATCATGAAATTTCAGGTTTCACTGAAAATTCAGTGAAATTTCTGAATTTTAACCATCTAAGGTGAAAGTCGGGCTGAGTAGTACTTTGTCCGGCGGAGTGGGGCCGCGCAATTCTTACGGAAGGTGCATAAAGTGGTAGAATTGCCCATTCACCTTAGAGGGTTAAGTAGCATAAAGACGAGAATTCCTTAAT